TGGAGTATCCATTCTCTTCCCTTGATCTATATATCTATCTTTAATCCATACCACATAGTTGTGTTTATTATAGTTTCATAGCAAGTTTTGAAATCAGGTAGTATAAGTTCTCCCATCTTTTACTTTTTCAGATTTGTTTTGGTTATTCCAATTCCTTTGCCTTTCCACATAGATTTTAGGATCCAGTTCTCACTTTCTTTAAAAAAAAAAAAAAAAAGGCGGGCTTCCCTGGTGGTGCAGTGGTTAAGAATCCGCCTGCCAATGCAGGATGGGTTCGAGCCCTGGTCCGGGAAAATCCCACATGCTGCGGAGCAACTAAGCCCGCGAGCCACAACTACTGAAGCCCGCGCGCCTAGAGCCCGTGCTCCACAAGAAGAGAAGCCACCGCAATGAGAAGCCCACTCACCGCAACAAAGAGTAGCCCCAGCTCACCGCAATTAGAGAAAGCCCACGTGCAGCAATGAAGACCCAACGCAAAAATAAATAATTTTTTTAAAAAAAAGGTTGTGGTATTTTGATAGGAATTGCATTGAATCAGTAGATGAATCTGGGAATAACTGGGATCTTAACAATATTGAGTCTTCTAATCCATAAATATGAAATGTCTCTCCATCTATTTAGATATTTTTCCATTTCTCTCAGCAATGTTTTATAGTCTTATGCACTTAGGTCTTGTGCTTTTTTATGCCATTGTGAAAGGAAATATTTCTCAATTTCATTTTTGGATTGTTTATTGCTAGTTTACACAAACACACTTGATTTTTATATATTTATTTTGTATCCTGAGACCTTTGTTCTAGTAGGTTTTTTTTTTTTAAACATTGCTTAGGATTTTCTAAATACAGGATCATATCATTTGCAAATAAAGACTGTTTTACTTCCTCCTTTCCAATCTAGATGACTTTAATTTGTTTTTCTTGCCTTATTGCACTAATTGCACATTCAGCAGTACAGTGTTGAACGGAAGTGGTGAGAGTAGACATCCTTGCCTTGTTTCCGATCTTAGTGGGGAAAGCATTTAGTCTTTCACCACTAAGTACAATGTTAGCTGTAGGGTTTCCATAGGGGCTGTATGAGTTTGCTAGGTTGCCATAACAAGGTACCACAGACTGAGTGGCTTAAACGACAGAAATTTATTTACTCACATTCTGGAGGCTAGAAAGCCAAGATCAAGGTGTCAAGAGGGTTGGTTTATTTTGAGGGTCTCTCCTAGGCTTACAGATGGCCATCTTCTGTGTCTTTACATGGTCTTCCCTCTGTGTGTATGTGTATCCTAACCTCCTCTTCTTATAAGAGCACGAGTCTGTGTCCAGGACTTCCCTGGTAGAGCAGTGGTTAAGAATCCGCCTGCCAACGCAGGGGTCATGGGTTCGATCCTTGGTCCAGGAAGATCCCACATGCTGCAGAGCAACTAAGCCCGCGTGCCACAACTACTGAAGCCCACGTGCCACAGCTACTGAAGCTCACACACCTAGAGCCCGTGCTCTGCAACAAGAGAAGCCCCCACTCGCCCCAACTAGAGAAAGCCCGTGCTCAGCAACAAAGACCCAATGCAGCAAAAAAAAAAAAAAAAGAAAAAAAAAAAAAAAATAAAAACTATGTCCAAATGTAGTTACATTCTGAGGTACTGGGATTAGTATTTCAACATACGAATTTGGAGGGATGCAGATTGTATTAGTCCATAACAGGGACCCTTTAACAGGATGAGGAATTTCCTTTCTATTCCTAGTTTGTTGAGAATCATCATATGAAATAGGTTTGGGATTTTATCAAATGCTCTTTCTGTGTCTTTGAGAGGATCATATGGCTTTTGTCCTTTGTTCTATTAATACAGTGCATTACATTGACTTTTACATGTTAAACCAACCTTGCATTCCTAGAATAAATCCTACCTGGTCATGGTGTTAATCATTTTTTTATGGTGCTAGATTCGTTTTTATAATATTTCATTGAGGATTTCTTTAAATTTATTTTTTGCTTATTTGTTTAAATATTTATTTTTGGCTGCATCGGGTCTTAGTTGCAGCACACGTGATCTTTTGTAGTGGTGCACAGGCTTCTCTCTAGTTGTGGCATGCGGGCTCAGTAGTTGCGGCATGCAGGCTTAGTTGCCCTGCGGCACGTGGGATCTTAGCTCCCCGACCAGGGATCGAACCCATGTCCCTTGCATTGGAAGGTGGATTCTTAACCACTGAACCACCAGGGAAGTCCCTCATTGAGGACTTTTGTGTCTGTATTCATGAGTGATATTGATCTATAGTTTTCTTTTCTCGAGATATATTTGTCTGGCTTTGGTAGCAGGATAATACTGATCTTGTAAGATGAGTTGGAAAATCCTCCTCCTCTTCTGCTTTCTGAAAATGTTTATGTATGTTTGGTATTACTTCTCCCTTAAATATTGACAGAATTCACCAGTGAAGCCATTTGCACTTAAGCTTTTCTTTGTGGGAAGTCTTTTTCATTCAGTTTCTTTTGTTGTGATAGATCTACTTAGATTTTCTATTTCTTCTTCTTTTTTTTTTTAGATTTTCTATTTCTTCTTGAGTCACTTTTGGTAATTTGTCTTTCTAGGAATTTGTCCATTGTTCTTATGTTGTCTATTTTGTTGACATAAAGTTGCTGTTAATATTCCCTTACAACCCTTCTGATTTCTGTAGGATCAGTTGTGATGATGTCCCCTCTTTCCTTCAGGATTTGGGTAATTTTGTCTTTTCTTTCTTTTACACATGTTTATTAAACGGAAATTTTAAATTGTACAATCATGTTTATAGCAACTTTATTCATAATAAACAAAAGCTTAAAACAAGCCAAATAACCATCTGTAGGAGAATGAAAATACAATGAAACACTACCATCAATTAGAGCAACAACGACAAAAGCAAAAACAACCTACTAATACTAAACAACAACATAGATGAATCTCACAGACATTTCATGGAGCAAAGGAGACCAGGCCTCAAAGCGTGTATATTCTATGAGTCTGTTTCTATGAAATTCAGAACAAATAAAATTAACCTATGGTGATAGAAATCAGAATAGAAGTTGCTTATTGGGGAAATTTGTCTTGCAAGAAATTGGATGCCCATTCTCAAACACCACTACAACCACTCAACTGTAAAAAGTTTGGACCCAGGAGGAAATATTACATACACCAAAGTGCAATGCCCTAGCTAGGGAGTCCAGCGAGATTGTCACCCCTGCTTTACACCATTGGACACTGAGACCCAGGGTGGAAGTGACAATCCCAGGGTCACAGAGAGCACCTCAGACAGAAGCTAGGCCCTCAGATGTCTGGTCTGGTATTTTCTCTGCTCAGCTTCTCCTCTTCTGGCTCCTGAAAGCCGGGCTCGCCCCGGCCTCCTCTTACGGTGAGCCAGGGCCGCTCAAAAGTTGTTCCACCCCAGGCCCCAAAATATATTTTCCTCCCACCTGTGTCATGTGCCCAGCATTGTACTACAGGAAAACTAGCCACATTTATCTTCAAAGCCCAGGAGCAGGAATTGGGTCTTTTGTTACCTGGTGCAGAGCAGGGCTGTGGGAATTGAATTCAAAGGGCCGTGATGTGAACTAAAGCAGATCTGCACTAGGGTCTGGGAATGAATGTGAAGACAGAACCCCCGGATTAGCTGGGATGCACCATGTGCCTGCCGGGTGACCTGCGGCAAGTCCCTCAGGCACGCTGAGCCCAGCTTCCGCATCTAAAACATGGGCTCCTCATCTTCTATTGCCCCGGGTTGTTGCAACAATTAAGTGAATTCACATATTCGAAGCTGCTTTGTAAATGCTATAGAAAAATATGCATTTTATTAAGCACTGCTGGGACCCAGACAGGGTGAATTTGAGGTTGTCTGGTCATCCATTTGAGGGAGAAGAAACTCCTCAGGCCCTGGGTATTACAGGGGGATCCCCAACTCCAGACTGGCTTAGGGGTTCTTGTGCCTGGCCCTGTCTCCACTCCCCAACATCCACAAAGGTATCCACATTCCATCCGTGTTTCCCCCTCAAAAGCCAAGCCCACTCGCCTCTCAGCAGAGCTTCCAAGGAACTGACATCTGGTTCTGAGAGAGTGCTGGCCCAGGGGTCAGGGGTCACTCAAACTCCAGAAGGAAGAAGTACCTGGCTTTCAGGGCTGTCCTTTGGGATGGCTGAATAACCTTTGATCTGCCCTGAGGGGAATGTGGGCATTTGGCTGTGGCCTGCGGGACAAATTTTATTTTCTAGGAAATGTGGGCCATGGTGCAGATCTTCTTCAGCTTATTCCAGTGGGACTGTGCTGGCTGCAGCCAGGCCCCGGAGCATCATGGCAACTGGCTGCCCTCCTGCCTGTTTGTCTGGAGGCCGACTTGTTCCCAGCAGGACTCCAGTCAGCCAAGGGCATCACATGCTCTCTTCCCACTTTTGCCCTCTCCTGGCCTGCAGTCACGTGGGTGGACCTGGGGGGGCAGCAGGGCTGGGACCCAGCCCCGCACACAACCCAGACAGACTGTCCTAAGGCACCCATTTCCTCCCCCTGGGGCAGCCCCTGCCCACTCCCCTACAAACCCACTGCCCCAGTGCCCCCACCCACCGGTGGCACTTGACTGGTGTGCGGTTACCATCCGCCTATGTTTAATTCATGGCTGGGGGTTGGGACGGGGCTTCCCAAGAAAGGAAAGAACTCCCCTGGGGTCTTGCCCAGTTCTTGCCCGCCCGCAGGGCACATGGCCGCAGCCTCCCTGGGCCTGGGGCTGGGAGGAGAAGCTGCCAATGGGCCTGGAGGACACTGTTCCAGCGTGGGCACAGCCATTATTCGTTAATCTGCAGCCCTGGAATGTCTGCGGGCCAATCAGCAGGGTCTCCGAGGGCTCCCCAAGGGCTCCGATAATCCTGCAATGATTAGCAGGGGCCACGGGGTCGCTGCGAACCACTCAGTGGGTTGGTCGGTTGGCTGTCGGCGGGCGGGCGGGTGGGCTGACCAGGCCAGCAGCCGGAGGAGGGAGGGAGGGAGGGAGTCCCGGGACTGGAGCTGTCTGTCTCCTTTCATGCCAGCGCCAAGGAAGGGAGGCTGTTTGGACTCACCGATTACTCACCAGCCTCCCCCTTTTGTCTGCCAGCCCAGCCTGACTCTTAGAGATTGTGAATAGCTCCATCCAGTCTGGGAAGCGAGCTGGACAGCTGAGCCGGGCAGAGCCCAGAGAACCCAGCAGGCCCATGTTGAGGCTGGAGCCCTCCCCTGGGCTGGGGGGCCACCGGCCTGGCCTCCTGCCCGTACTCCTGGCTCTCCTTGGCATGACCTGGGCAGAGGTGCGCCCACTCCAGCTACAGGAGAAGCAGGTTCCAGTGCCTGGAGGTAAGGGGCCGCGGGGTGAGGAAAAAGTGGAGGAGCTATGAGCTCTGCAGAGGGTCCCAGGGGGCTTCTGGAAGCCAGTTCCCAGGCCTGAGCCCTGGGCAGGCTGGTGTGATTTAAAGAGCCACCCTCGAACAGTCCAGGGGCCGGAGATGGATGGAGGAGGCTGGGACTGGGGCAGAAGGATGAAGGGGAGTGGGCCCAGGCTTGGGGGTGAAGGAAGAACACTGGGAGCCTGCAGCAGGGACCCCAGAAGAGACTCAGTGGCTGAGAGAAGCCCCAGCCAGAGGGCCCGCTGCGAGCCCAGGGCTGGACCCCTCTTCACACCTAGCCCCCAGGCCCCCATTCCCTTCTATCACCCCACCCCCAGCTCTCAGCCTAAGGCTCCTTTAGGCCTACACCTGTCTCTCTGTCTCAGCCCCACTGCTTTCTCCACATCTCCCTATGCCCCCATGCCTCTGCCCCGGGTCCTCCCATACACACCCACCATCGTCCTGTCCCATCACTTGTTCCATAAGTGCAGGGTTGCATTCTCGTCTTGCCGTGGTGACACCCGCCCCATCGCTAGGGGCCGGGCCCAGGTCCCACCGCTCAGGTGGCCTCACCGTGTCTCCCGCCCCAGCCCTGAGCAAGAAGGAGAGCTTCCTGCTCCTCTCCCTGCACAACCGCCTGCGCAGCCGGGTCCACCCCCCTGCAGCCAACATGCAGAGAATGGTGAGTACCCCCAACCCGGGCTGGCCGAGGGGGCACCTGGAGGGGCAACCCTGAAGAGGACTGAGGAGGCCATGCCAGTGCCAGGTGCCCTTTCACCTGGCAGAGTGGGGCAGCGGCCAGCCAACTTCCTGCTCTGGGACCACGCCTGGTTGCGGGGGGGGGGGGGGGGGGGGGGGAGGGGGGCCGTTGCTTCCCCCTCCCCCAGAAAGGCAGCCCTTGGGTTTTTCCTTGCATCCCTTCCCGTTGCCCCGGAGACCAGAAGACATGGAAAGAACTGGGGTCCCCTCCTCCAAGAAACAGGAGCATCACAAAAGAGTCCCAGCAGGACTGGAGACTAGTCAGGGAGGGAGAAGCATCCTGCTGGGGGTGGGAGGGGTGAGGCTTGTGTGTGACCAGACCCACTGCTTCTTCAGCAGTTTGTCTAGGCGACTAGGAGGGGCCCCCTCCCCAATTCCCAGCCCATTCACTGGGGGCCAGGGAGCGGGGTATAGGGTTTCCCACCACTCCCTCGGGGCTTCAGGGTTGAAGGTGTCATCCTGGGGCCCAGAAACACTGCCCCGTAGTATGGGACCCCAGCTGCGCCCTCCCATGGTAACAGTCGAGGGAGCGAGGGAGGGGCAGTGTGGGGCAGGCAGGGTTCCCCATGACTGCTTCCCATAAACTGCTCTGAGGCTGGCGCAGCAGTGGCGACCTTGAGAGCTCCAGGGTCAGGTTCCCAGGAGGTGGGGGTGGGGTGGGCAGGAGGGGGGTCGCCTCTCCCCCTTTCCCTGCTCGCGGCGGCTCTGCCCCTCCTCAGGCCCAGGTCCTGGCTCTCATCCCCACACTCCCAGCCCTAGTGCCCAGTGTGAGGCTGCTCCGGTCAGCTTCTACACTTCCCATGGCCCTGTTGCCAAAGTCTTAGAAAACAGCATTTCATAAAAAATGCAACTGGAGCCCCACCACTCAGCCTCTGTCACACCCGCAGCTCTGGCCCTGGGCACCCCAGTGGAGGCTGAGGCCCTTGGGGGTGGTCCGGGCTGCTGAGGCGCCCCACGCAGTCCCCGCTGCTCCCAGCTCCAGTCCCCGTCAGCAGTAAAATCACAACTACCATCTGCCCGGGCTGCTGCAGGTCAGGCCCTAAATGCAGCACTTTTCTCTCTGCATCCATGTAATCTTCACACAATCTTACCCTATGGGTACCTTATTATCTGTTTGTTTTGTTTTGTTTTTTGGCCACACGGCACGCCTTGCAGCATCTCAGTTCCCCGGCCAGGGACTGAACCTGGGCCATGGCAATGAAAGCCCAGAATCCTAACCACTAGGTCACCAGGGAACACCCACCTTATTATTCCATTTTACAGAAGCGTATGTTGAGTCTCATGGAGATTAGGAGACTGCTGGAGGTCACAGAGCTGGAATGAGGTGGCTGGGCTGGACCAGGGCATGACGATCGGGTGACACATGTCATCCTGGTTGCTAAGCCCCCCGTTTCAGAGGACGGGGAGCTGTTGGATGGGGGTAGGGAAAAGGGCAGCTGGTACGTGGTGGGAAGAGCAGATTAGGCCCACTCCAGAGAACTCTGCTTGCTGAGACCAAAGCGCTGAGGCCCTGGAGACCTTTTACACCCTCTCTGGTCCTGACTCCCAGCTGGTGCCCCTGTGTACTCCAAAACCAGATTTAGGGAATAAGACACAGCGGTATGGCTGCTGCGACTTTTTGCATCACAGAAGGGAAGCCAAGAGGGAGCCTTTCTGACAACGGCCAGGGTCAGTTTTACCTAACACGGAACCAGTTTCAAAGGCTTGGGCACTATCCAGGGCTCCCATTACCAGACGGGAAAAATTATGGCAGAGGCCCATCCTATCACGTGGGCTGGCACCTCGTGCCCAGGAACACCCATCCCCCTTAGTGGGCGGGGCCTGAGGGTACAAGCCGCTGGAGTCAGAAGGACTGAAGCTGTCAGTCCAGGGTGGAGCCGGGCTCTGGGTGGGGGGTCCAGACAGGGCAGGTGCTTTTCCAACACCACCTTGGAGCGCCCCTTGCAGGTCCTGTCTGACCTTCCCTGGCCCCAGTGAAGGCGGTGAAAGCAGCTCAGAGCACTCAAGCCGCCAAGCAGGACCCCTGTTTGGGCTGGGGTCTCTTCCCTGCAGGACCAGCACCTCTGGATGTGCTGGTGGGGGGGCTGGATCACTAAGGCCTGGCCCAGGGGCCCCTGCTGATGTTGCTGTTTGCGTTCCTTTCCCCCAGGACTGGAGCGAGAGCCTGGCCCAACAGGCCCAGACCAGGGCAGCCCTCTGTGGCGCCCCAGCCCCAAGCCCAGCCTCTGTCCCCCGGGCTACCCCGCAAGTGGGCTGGAATGTGCAGCTGCTGCCCGTGAGCTCGGCGTCCTTCATCCACGTGGTGGGCCTGTGGTTCTCAGAGGGGCAGCAGTACAGCCAGGCAGCGGCCGAGTGTGCCCCCAATGCCACCTGCACCCACTACACTCAGGTGAGGCCCGGGTACTGGCTCTGAGGCCCCTGCCCTGCTGGGCTGGTTCAGAGGTCTGCAGTTTGTCCTAAAATTGGTGGTTGCTTTTCCTCCCATTTGTTTAGTTTTACTTTTTTCAGCTTTAAATATGAAATATTTCAAAGCTAAATCAAATAACGGACTCCTTCTTATCCACTACCTAGCATTAGAAAATGTTAACTATATTTGTTTCTCATCTCTTAAAAAAACAAAACTAAGCGTAAGGCCTCCTTCTGCCCTTTCCTCTGTCCCTCCCCAGAGGTAAACTTGCTGAAGTCCAGGTGAAACACCCCATGTTTCCTTTTCTTCCCCCTCAACAAAATTTGTTGAATGTCTTCTCTGTAACTGGCATCGTTTATGTACTAGGATCCAGCACTGGAAAACACAGGCAAAATCCCAAGCATGTTTTTCTCTTTTTTTTTTTATGGTTACTTTTATGTGTCAACTTGCAGGGTAGTGGGTTGTTATTGTTGTTGTTTTGCATGACATTAACATTTTTTTTGACATTAACATTTTTTATATTAATTAATTAATTAATTAATTTTTGGCTGCGTTGGGTCCTCGTTGCTGCGTGCTGGCTTTCTCTAGCTGCGGCAAGCGAGGGCTGCTCTTCGTTGAGTTGCGCGGGCTTCTCATTGCGGTGGCTTCTGTTGTTAGGGAGCACGGGCTCTAGAAGCATGGGCTTCAGTAGTTGCGGTGCATGGGCTTATTTGCTCCGCGGCATGTGGGATCCTCCCGGACTAGGGATAAAACCCATGTCCCCTGCATTGGTAGGCAGATTCTTAACCACTGCACCACCAGGGAATTCCTTGTTTTTCTTTTCTTTTTTTGGGGGGGGGGCCGAGGGTAGTTCCCCGACCATGTATGGAACCAGGGCCCCAGCAGTGAAAGCACCAAGTCCTAACCACTGGTCCCTCAGGGAATTTCCCCAAGCATGTTTTAATACCTTTACTACACGTGGAAGGGTTTTGATACCTTTTCTACTTGTGCAAGTGGGTTGTGTGTTATTAAATCCTACCTAAGTGCTCTCTCTGTATGTCTCCTTTTGCAATTTGTGTTTATCACTTCAGACCACATTTGTAAGATTTGTTTCCGTTGATCTGAGCATGCGTGATTCACTATGAATAAACTGCAATTTACAGGCATCTGGGTTACTTCCACGTTTTTTTTTTTTTTACTATCCCAAGTCATACCCAAATGCATAAATCCTAGTTCCGGTCCTCTTGTACATATGTGTCCAGACTTTTTCTAGGACACACTTGGAAGGGGAATGGCTGAGTCAGAGGGAGCACGCACCTACAACCTTAGTAGCTATTGCCAAAGTGATGTCGCCAACTCTACTCCTGCCCACAAAGCAGTTCTCACTCCCCATTCTTACTCTATTCATTAAGGAGTATTGTCAGCTCCTTCATTTTTGCCAACTCAAGGCTGTGAAATGCTACCTCATTCTGTTTTTAATTTGCATTTCCCTGATTACATGTGGGACTGAGCCTCTTTTCTGTTCTTTTCATTACCTTTTAATTTCATCTTTCCCTTATTAATTTGTAAGCATCTTTGCTATATGCTTTGTACTTTTTGTTGGTCATATTGGTTGCAGATACTTTTTTTCTAATATATGGCTTGTACTTTCTCTTTGTTTATGTTATCTTTTATAAGATAAATCTTTCAGAAGATTTTAATATTAATGTAATCAATTTTCTCTTGTTTTTCATTATAGTTCATCCATTTGTTGTATCATGTTTAAGAAATAAATCTTTTTCAACTCTGACATCAGCTAGATATTCTTCCTGTATTTTCTTCCAAAGTTCAAATGTTTTCCTTTTTTTCATATTGAAGTCATTAAGCCATCTAGTGATATAGGATTTAATTTTATCTTTTTTTTTTAAAGGAATTTTGCCTTTTTTAAAAAAAATTTTATTTATTTATGGCTGTGTTGGCTCTTCGTTTCTGTGCGAGGGCTTTCTCTAGCTGCGGCAAGTGGGGGCCACTCCTCAACGCGGTGCGCGGGCCTCTCACTATCGCGGCCTCTCTTGTTGCAGAGCACAGGCTCCAGATGCGCAGGCTCAGTAACTGTGGCTCACGGGGCTAGTTGCTCCGCGGCATGTGGGATCCTCCCAGACCAGGGCTCGAAACCGTGTCCCCTGCATTGGCAGGCAGATTCTCAACCACTGCGCCACCAGGGAAGCCCAATTTTATCTTTTTTTTTTACTTCTTGTATGAAGCACTGAATCTTTCCCCCCCAGACTCTAATGCCACCTCAGCCATATACCAAGCTCACATATCCACATGGGTCTGTTGCTGAGTTCTCTCTTCTATTTTGTTGCTTTTTTTGTTTACTCTTGCATATATGTGCTTTAATTATTATGGCTTTATAAAAAGTTTTGACAGGAAAATCCCCCATGTTATTATCATTCAAAAATTTCTTGGCTATTCTTGATTCTTTCTCCTGATTCTTTCATATGAATTTAATAAGTAGCCTTTATCAGGTTATAGACAGGCCTAGCTGCTCCGCGGCACATGGGATCTTCCTGGACCGGGGCACGAACCCGTGTCCCCTGCATCGGCAGGCGGACTCTCAACCACTGCGCCACCAGGGAAGCCCCAGACATTTCTTTCTAATCTAAGTTTGTTAAGGATTTTTAAAGTCATGAAAAGGTTTTGTGTTTTATCAAATGCCTTTTGTGCATCTATTGAAATAATTATAAGGTTTTTCCTTAACTATTTACAGCGATGAAATACATGAATAATTTTTGTGTGTGTGTACAAAGCTGTTACATGACACTACATCTTCCTGGTCATGTATTTTAAACATTTTATTATAGAAAATTTCAAATATATACAAAGCAGTCAGAGTGATATAATGAACCCCCATCTACCTATCATCCAGCTTCAACAATTATCAGCTCACGGTTTCATGACTCATATTTATTTAATTATTTATTTATATTGAAGTACGGTTGTACAGTACTATATAAGCTGTACAGGTACAGCTGTACAGGTACAGGTACTTATATACCTGTATAAGCTACAGGTACACAATATAGTGATTCACAAATTTTAAAGGTTATACTCCATTTATAGTTATTATAAAATACTGGCCTTGGGCTTCCCTGGTGGCGCAGTGGTTGAGAGTCCGCCTGCCGATGCAGGGGACACGGGTTCGTGCCCCGGTCCGGGAAGATCCCACATGCCATGGAGCGGCTGGGCCCGTGAGCCATGGCCGCTGAGCCTGCGCGTCCAGAGCCTGTGCTCCGCAATGGGAGAGACCACAACAGTGAGAGGCCCGCGTACAGCCAAAAAAAGTACCGGCCATATTCCCCATGTTGTACAATGTATCCTTGTAGTTTATTTTATACCTAATAGTTTGTAGCTCTTACTCCCCTACCCTTATACTGCCCTCCCCCCTTCCCTCTCCCCACTGGTAATCACTAGTTTGTTCTCTATATCTGGGAGCCTGCTTCTTTTTTTTGTTATATTCACTAGTTTGTTGTATTTTTTAGATTTCACATATAAGTGAGATCATACAGTATTTGTCTTTCTCTGTCTGACTTATTTCACTTAGCATAATACCCTCCAAGTCCATCCTTGCTGCTGCAAATGGCAAAATTTCATTCTCTTTTATGGCTGAGTAGTATTCCATTGTATATATGATGTGATGCGAAATAAAGCGATGTAGGGTGTGTGTGTGTGTGTGTGTTGTTGTTTTTAATTAATTGCTATATTTGGTTTCCTAAATACTATTTGATAGTGAAATTGACCTCTGATTTTCTTTTCTCATTCTGCCCTCACCTGGTTTATATTAACCTCATAAAATGAGTTGGAGGTTTTGCCTCATTTTCTGTTTCCTGGAATAGGTTCTATAATATTTGCTGTAACTGTCCTGTAAAACTATTTGGGCCTTTTTCTATTTTTTGATTGTTTTGTGTGCATGTGTATGTATCCATGGATTTTTAATTACTGATTCAACTTTTAGAAATGGTCGTAGATCATTTCAGATTTTCTATTTCTTCTTGAGACAGTTTTGCCAAGCTCTATTTTCTAGGAAACTATCCATTTTATATTTTCCAGTTTGTTGGTGCTGTCATTTAAGAGATTTTAAACTAGAATTAAACAGATTTTTTAAATGTTTCCTGTGTCTGCAGCTATGTCCTTTTAAAATTCTCTATTGTATTTATTTGTGCCTTCTCTCTTTTGTTCTTTACCAGTCTTCCCAGAGGTTTGACTATTCTAACGAATCAGCTTTTTGTTTTCCTTCTCTCTTTTTTCCACCCATCCACAACCTTATTCTTTTTATTAATTTCTGCTCTTTTTTAAAAAAATTAATTTATTATTTATTTATTTATTTATTTTTGGCTGCGTTGGGTCCTTGTTGCTGTGTGCAGGCTTTCTCTAGTTGAGGAGAGTGGGGGCTACTCTTCGTTGCAGTGTGCGGGCTTCTCATTGCAGTGGCTTCTCTTGTTGCGGAGCACAGGCTCTAGGCGCACGGGCTTCCGTAGTTGTGGCACACGGGCTCAGTAGTTGTGGCTCGCAGGCTCTAGGGCACAGGCTCAGTAGTTGTGGCACACGGGCTTAGCTGCTCTGCAGCATGTGGGATCTTCCCGTAGCAGGGATCGAACCCATGTCCCCTGCATTGACAGGCGGATTTTTAACCACTGCGCCACCAGGGAAGTCCTTCTGCCCTTGTTTTTATTATTTTCTTTCATCTACTTTCTTAACTCATTAATTTTAACTCCTTTTTCTTTTCTGGTATATGTCTTTTCAAGCTATCAATTTCCCTCTAAACTCTGTTAGCTACATCCCATAAGTTTTGGAATTTAGTGATTTCATTGTCACTTAGGTCTATGAGTTTCCTATTTTCCATTATGATGCTGTCTTTGATTTTGAAGTGTATATTTAAATTTCCAAACTATGTTTTCTCCTTTACTTACTTCTAAATTATTTCCTTGGGAATTCCCTGGTGGTCCAGTGGTTAGGACTTCACGCCTTCACTGCCGGGGCCTGGGTTCAGTCCGTGGTCAGGGAACTAAGATCCCATAAGCCATGCAGCCAAAAAAAATTTTTTTAATTTAATTAATAATAATAGTAAATTATTTCCTTTACATTCTATTGCATTGAATTCATAGAATGTGTCCTGTAGGATGTTGGTTATTGAGTATTTATTGAATCTTGCTTTGTGGCTTACTGAGGGGTCAGTGTCTGCAAAAGTTCCATGCACTCCTAAAAAGAATGCATATTCCCTAACTGTTGGATACATAGGTATGACTACATGTGCATCTCTCCCTGCCTCATGCTGGTCATGTTTAGTGGCTACCAGAGTTTGCTTGGCTATTCCTGTGTATTGACCATTTGTGCTATTTCCAAGTTGTCACTGATTCTAAAACTCTAAATCTAAGTTTTGAATACTATTAAAGACCTGTATCTGTTAGCTGTTGCTGCATGACGCACTACTCCCAAATATAACGATTCTGCAGCTTGGCAGTTTGGGTTGGGCTCAGCTGACAGTTTCTTCTGGTCTTCGCTGGGCCCACTCCTGCAACTGCAGTCAGCTGCTGCGTTGGCTGGGAGCTGGCTGTCTAGAGTGGCCTCAACTGGTTCATCTCTGCCCTATAAGGTTCTTCAACCTCCAGCAGCCTTGTTCACGTGGTGGCTGAGCATGAGAGTTCTATGAGAATGAGTGGAAATTGTAGGGTCTCCTGAGGCCTAGGTTTAAAATGGTTCAATATCATTTCTCCTGCATCCTGTTGGCCAACAGAAGCCACAGGGCCAGCCAGATTCAAGGTGTGGGAAAGAGATTCCTCCTGTTGATGCAAAGAACTGCAAAGCCACATTTTATAAAGAGGGGGCTGTAGGGAGAAGTGAAGCGTTGTGGCCATTTTATCAGTCATCACAAGGCCTTTGAGGTCCAAGTCTCTTTTCCCACTCTCCTCCACTATCCACAATCTCCCTTCCCTTCAGGTATCTGCTGACCCTCACCTCCCGACCCAGAAGGCCTTTCTAGACTATTCCCACCCATCCTTATATCCCTGCCCAGCACAGCTACTGCTCCTGGGGTCCCCAGGGAGGTGACAAAACTGTTTAACTGCTTGGCCTGGGCAAGAGCTGTGTCTACCCTTCCCAGGGGAGCATCATCTAGGCTGTTGGTCCCAAGACTAGGAGTGGAGGTGGCCCATGAGAGGGTTTCTGAGCCACTGTGTCTCCTGCAGCTCGTGTGGGCCACCTCGAGCCAGCTGGGTTGTGGGCGGCATCCCTGCTCTGGGGCCCAGGCTGAGATGGAAGCCTTTGTCTGTGCCTACTCTCCCGGGTAAGCCTCCTCCATGGCAGCTGCCCTGCCATCCCCTGCTGGGCTGCGGGGTAGGGGATGCTGTCACCCAGGGTGAGACACTCACCCACCCACCCACAGGCCTTTACCCCTTGGTCTGCACCCCTGCTGGGAGAGGGAAGAAGGAGGAAAGGGAGAGGGTGCAGAAGTGGGCAGCACCCAATATTCTGGCCACGCAGAATGTGGCTTCTTCTCAGACGCCCCTTCCTGGAGGCACCACCCAGTGTTCAGGGCATCTGCCCAGTATTAGTTTGGAGGTCATCTTTTCTTTCCTAGGAAATCTCCCCGTCTCTCCCAGCTCCCTGCCTTCCTGGCTGGGCCGGAAGGAGCTGAAGGGGCTGGTGGGGCAGGCAGCAAGGCCCAAGGCCAGTTCCTTCTAGCCTCTGCTGCTTGCTCTCACAGAGGCAACTGGGAGGTCAACGGGAAGACCATCGTCCCCTACAAGAAGGGCACCTGGTGTTCGCTCTGCACAGCCAGCGTCTCGGGCTGCTTCAAAGCCTGGGACCACGCAGGGGGGCTGTGTGGTAAGTGCCCCACCCTGCCTGCCTCTGGCTGGGGCGGCTTGATCTGGTGATCCTGGAGGAGGCGGGCAGCATCCTGAGGGACTGTCCCAGAAGCCCTGGTCCTCAGCACTCGGGGAGGCACCTGCCTGGCCTGCCGGGGAGAGGCGCCCTCATAGCATTTCCTTCTCATCCGACCAGAGGTCCCCAGGAACCCATGTCGCATGAGCTGCCGGAACCACGGACATCTCAACCTCAGCACCTGCCACTGCCACTGTCCCCCGGGTTACACAGGCAGATACTGCCAAGGTGAGGGGCGCCTGGAGTTCTGGACTGTGACCACCCGGGGGACCCAGGGAGCGATCCTCGCACAGCCTATCCTCATCCAATAAGCATTCACTGAGCACCGAAGGTCTGCCAGACCCTGCGCTGTGCAGGGAATTCAAAGTGAAATCAGATCGGCCCCTCAGGCCCTGGGATGGTGGAAGGACAGTATTAGGATCCAGAAGTGGATTCCTTTCCCACTGTCCCCTACCCCCCAGCTCTGTGACCATGAGCAGGTCCACTCCCAAACCCCGATTTGCTTCTCTCTACAAGATCAAACCAAAGATGCCAAATGTGGCAGCGGTTGGGAGCCCCGATGGTTTCCATCTCTGGGGGGCAGGGGTTGTTCTTGCTGTGGTTGGCCATTCTGCACACATCCGTGGCCTGTGAGGGGCAGCCTGGGGCCCAGGGGCTGCCAGCTGAGTGCCGTCCCCTCCCTGCCCCATCCTGGCAGTGCGGTGCAGCGTGCAGTGCGTGCACGGCCGGTTCCGGGAAGAGGAGTGCTCCTGCGTCTGTGATGTTGGCTATGGGGGAGCCCAGTGTGCCAGTGAGTCCTGCCGCAAAGCCCCCCAACAAGACGAGCCCCTCCCAGGACCCCCTCAGCTGGTGCTGGGTCTGGTTCGGACCAGCTCACAGGAGCCCATCGTACGCACCTCTCCCCCATTCCCCGATCAGTGACGTCACAGTGGTAGCTTGAACTTGGCCATGGTGGGGGTCTTTACACCACCACAGAAATGGCAATGCTAAAATCATAGACTTTTTTTTTTTTTGAGGGAGAGCTGGTTGTTACACATTTACCAGCACACCACTGACCCCAACCCCCTCTCCTGCTTGGTGGCCAGGGGAAGGGGTACCTTGAGCTTAACATCCTGGCAGGACCGGAAGGGTAATGATTCTGAGGTGCCCACACACAAAATCAGGCTTCCCTCCTCCCAGCCAAGGTGCACTTTCCCTTCCACACCTGTGACCTGAGGATCGATGGAGACTGCTTCACGGTGTCTTCAGAGGCAGACACCTATTACGGAGCCAAGATGAAATGCCAGGTAATGGTTGGCCCCTGCCTTCCCAGGGACCGTCCCCCTGGGTTCTTAACAGAGGGACCCTGGGCTAAGAGATGAATTCCTTTGACTTCTCCTGACTCTCATCTTTAGTATAAAGCAGGGGTTACAACTCAGAGGCCCATGGAAGCCAGGAGGTCACTTAATGAGCTGAGGGACCCAGGGACAAGGCCCCACTCAACCCCCATCTAAGGGGCCATCTTGACTCAGCTCGAGCTGCTGGCTGCCGGGCAGGAATGCAAGTTCAGGGAGGCCAGGACCTGGAATTTCTCAAGAGAACCAGAAATGCAGATTTTCACTGAGCTCTCAATTTATTAATGTTGGCAACCAATCCAAATGTATTAAAGACACTGAGCAGGTGAAACAAAACCCTTCCAAGTGTGGGACCCTGACAGAGGAGCCGTGGGCAGAGAAGAGAAGGCAGACTCTGCTCTAAGAGGCTGGAGGCTTTGGGGGGCTGATGACAGCCCAGCCAGCACACAGATTGGACATCCATGGCCACGATGGGTGGCAGGATGGAAAGGAAGGGCTGGCCTGAGCTCTGGGGCCAGAATGACCCGGAGCGGGGGTTACAGGGAAAGGGCGGGGTGCTAGCCCAGATTGAGAGCCAGAAAGTGCAGGACATCCTCGCCTTCTACCTGGGCCGCCTGGAGACCACCAACGAGGTGACCAACAATGACTTTGAGACCAGGAACTTCTGGATCGGTGAGTGCCTGGCTGACTGGTGGAGCGGGCAGGGATGCAGTGAGTGTGGGGCTGGGATGCCTTACACTGCTTCAGGAATCTGGGCCGTGGAAACCCAGAGCACCTACCAGCGGGCAGTAAGGGTGTGGTGAGGGCTTGGGGCCCAGAATGGGGCCAGTAGTCAAGCTGGTGACTCCTTTCCCTGCAGAGAGAGCCGAAGGGAGGGAGAGCCACCAGAGGGGCTGGAAGTGCTGGGAAGGGGGCTTAAGGGCTGGGGGTCGACAGGCATTGGGCAGCAGGCTCTGGGCTCAGGCCCTCATCGCAGGGAGCCTGGGCTGCCAGCGGGGCCCAGGGATCTCGGGTGTGAGGCCAGCCTTGGCTGCTGTGGCTCAGGGCTCACCTACAAGACCGCTAAGGACTCCTTCCGCTGGACCACCGGGGAGCACCAGTCCTTCACCAGTTTCGCCTTTGGGCAGCCTGACAACCAGGGGTGAGTCTGGGGTGCCCTCCCTCCCCTGTGCCCACCTTCTCCCCTGGGCCTGCTTGCTGAGCCTTCAGACACCGCTGAACAACCTCCACCCTGCCTGCTGCTTGGCTGAGCGCCCTGAGGGTCTGGGCCTTACCTGGTGCCCAGGTGCCAGGAAGTCTGGGCACAGCTGGGTGTGGGCCCAGTGCTGAGATGAGGTACATCCCTGACCTCCAGGGGCTCAAATAAAAGAGAGGGAACCCAAGAAGGCTTCATCCATCCACAGTCCCCATCATCCCTCCAGCTGTCTCTCCGTCTCTCTATTATCTATCCATCCCTCCCCCACCACCGTGCCCCCTCTGCCTGTATCAATACACTGATTCTGCCCTCCTTAGCTGGCCACCCACCTGCATCCACTCCTGCACACATCTGCCCACTGGCCCGCCTGCACTGAGGCCCAGCCCTGGTCTTCAAAGCCCAGAAATGCCCAGGGCAGGGGGGGGAGGTGGTCAGGCTGTGTGGCCACCAAGGCTCCAGATACCCCGCCCAGTTCTCCTTTGACCTCCTTGATGGCAGCCACGCCCAGGCCACTGGCCCATCCCTAGAGGAAGCCGGCTTGGTGGGCCCCCAGGCATACCTTCTCCTGCTGGGAGGAAAGATGTGGGCCTGTCTGTTCCAACCCCACTACCCCCACCTGCAGTGGCCGGCATGGCTGAGGGCTGCAGCGGTGGGTGGAGCTGTCCCCACCGCACCCCGAGAAGAGAGGAGCTGCAGTGCTCTGAAGTGCAGGCATGGGCTTGGGGCTGGCTCCCAGAAGCCCCATATGTGGGAGGGGGCACCCAAGAGGCACCTCCCTAGGTGCAGGTGGCCCACTGTGGGGGAGGATTTAAGGACTCATAATTTCATTCCTCCACCCTGAGCACTCGACAATCTTGGCAGGTTTGGCAACTGTGTGGAACTGCAGGCATCGGCCGCCTTCAATTGGAACGACCAGCGCTGTAAAACCCGAAACCGTTACATCTGCCAGTTTGGTGAGGGCCTTCCCACGGCTCCCCTCCTCTGGTCCCTGTCCCCTGGGGATATCCAGATGAACAGTCTAGAGTGTCTGAGCACACAGGGCCACGAGGACACCCTGCTCAGGGCCTCATTGGACCTGTAGGCCCCTGAAGCACAGAGAGGGAGATTGGCCTGGGCTCAGCCACGCAGGGGCAAGACCAGAACTACAGCCTGGCTGGGGATTTCACCAAGGTCCCTTTCCTCCTGTCACTAAAGCTGCCACATGGGAACCCATCGGGTTCTTCAGCATTCCCTGATTCCCTAGAGCACAGTGAACTATGGTGGGGACAGAGGTGAGACCTAGCCCAGAATCAGCCCCCAGCAGCACCTGCTAGAAGGATCTGGAGCTGCAAGTGGGATCATGGCTATTTCTGGACCTAGTGTAGCAGGGTCCCCATCCCAGGACCGCCTGGGCTGTCACTGACCCTTGTTCTGTTCTCTTCCTTTCCAGCTCAGGAGCACATTTCCCGGTGGGACCCAGGGCCCTGAGGCTCACCCATGCCTCTCCCCTGCCAGCACCTGGATGCACAGCCCTACCTGCCCTTCTGCCCACCTGTTTAGAACAAGGGTTGGGCTAGGACTGCAGGCCCAACAGCCAAAGAGGCCTCAGACCTTGCAGGAAGTGGGGCAGGGGGTACAAGTGAGGCCGATGGAGAGCCTGGTATAGGAGGAGGGGAGCCTGGGGTCCCCCAGCCTGCTTTTGAGTGGGAAGATGGGTCTTAATTAGGCACTGAAACAGGAGTCCGGGGCAGTGGTCAGAAGAGACCACTCTCCTCCATCTGGGCTGGACCCTCTGGGACAGACAGAGGTTCCTTGCTGCCCAGGATGCACCCCACAAAGGATTAAACTAAGTTATGGATCAGCTGGACTTGTGAATGCTCATTGTGAAGGGGAATTCAGACAACCCAGAATGAACCCAGGAAGACTGGTTTCCTCCCAGCCACCTCAGTCCCATACCTGCTCGCCCACATGACCCAGGCCACCATCTGGAGGTTTTCAGACTCTTAGTCCTGAATAATGCACAGATTTAGAAGCCTTGTTTGTCTGCATCCCTAATTTCCAGCTCCTCTCACCACTGCCTCTGTCAGCTTTGTGTTTCTGTTCACACCTCCTCCTTTATTAATTATGCTTGCTTCTACTTGTCTCTTCTTTCTTTGTGATAATCTGAACTGGGGTCTGTTATGGCCCCATCTCCTCCCTCTCCCTATAGCGGTGAGAGGGTGAGTCCAGGCAGGTGCAAGACTGGGAGGTGCTACCATTAGCATCCAGAATGCACACTGTTATGTGCGAACATCGAGTTGCTTTGCTGGTTGGAAGTATCAGTACAAGTGTGGCCTGGGCCCATGGAACCGGGAGAAGCAGATCAGTCACGGTTCTTGGTTGCAGCCAATAGAAACATAGAAACAGCCCTGGCTAGTCATGGCAGAAAAGGAATTTATCAAAAGGGCAATGATTTTTAAATGGGCAAAGGACTTGAATAGACAGTTCTCCAAAGAAGATATACAAATGGCCAATAAGCACATGAAAAGATGTTCAACATCACTAGTCATTAGGAAATCCAAATAGAAACCACTGTGAGACACCACTTCACACCCATTAGGATGGCTGTTAGCAACGAAACAGAAAATAACAAGTGTTGATGAGGGTGGGGACCCATTGGAACCCTCATACATTGCTGGGGAATGTAAAACGGTGCAGCCATGGTGAAAAATCGTTTGGCGATTGTTCAAAAAGTTAAACAGGACTTCCCTGGTGGCACAGTGGTTAAGAATCCACCTGCCAATGCAGGGGATGCAGGTTCGAACCCTTGTCCGGGAAGATCCCACATGCCGCGGAGCAACTAAGCCTGTGCACCACAACTACTGAGCTTGCGCTCTAGGGCCCGCATGCCACAACTACTGAAGCCTGCGCACCTAGAGCCTGTGCTCCACAACAAGAGAAGCCACCGCAATGAGAAGCCCACGCACCGCAACAAAGAGTAACCCCTGCTCACCACAACTAGAAAAAGCCTGCACGCAGCAACGAGGACCCAGTGCAGCCAAAAATAAATAAATTAATTTAAAAAAACTAAACACAACTACCATATGACCCAACAATTCCACTCCTAGGTATGTACCAAGAGAAACGAAAACAAGTGCTCAAATAAATCCTTAAAACACAAAGTTCATAGCAGCATTATTCACAATAGCCAATAGCCAAGAGGTAGAAACAACCCGAAAGTCCATCAATGGATGAGTAGCTAACAAATTGTGGTGTATACATGCAATGCAATATTAAATCAACCATTAAAAGGGATGAAGTACTGATACATGCTACCAGGTGGACGAACCTTGAAAACATTTTAAGTGAAAGAAGCTAGTCACAAAAGGTCACATATTGCATGATTCCACTTATCTGAACTACTCAGAAAAGGTAAATCCATAGATGCAGAGACGGGTGGTTGCCAAGGGAAACAGGAAAATGAGGGTATGGGTTTTATTTTGAAATGATAAAAATGTTTTGGAATTTAGATAGAGGTGGTGGTTGTACAACACTGTAAATGTATTAAATGCCACTGAATTGGTTAATTTTGCGTTATGTAAATTTCACTAGGGAGAGTGAGAGAGACACGCTGGGGCCTCTGTAGCCCAGAAATAGTGCTCCAAATTCTGCTGCAAAGCCCATCTGGGGAGACTCCCATGCCACTGCTGCCAGGCACAGGAAATGCAGAGCCTGCTCTGACAGCAGCGACACAGGAGCCACCTTTATGGCAACTAAGGTTGGCAATCCAATGCCCTTCTGAGCCTCTAACACCCCAGACGCCAGATTCCCATTCAGCTGCAGCCTCTCCCATCAGCACTCCTGGCACTACAGTGCTTCCCTCACCAATATATTTCTCAGTGCCTCGGCAAAGGATGCGCTTGGGGCCGTCCCAGGGTTCCTAGGTTGGGGTGTCAGTGAGCAGGTCCTACCTGAAAAGTCCATTCCAACATTCTCATCTGGAGGCGAGGTAGCCGAACGCCGCGGTTCTCCATGTTGGTCCACGGGCCAGCAGCATCGACATCACCTGGGAACTTGTTAGACGAGCAGATTTTCAGCTGCCCCAAACCTAATCTGAGTTTTAACAAGATCTCCAGCCACTTCAGATGCAGGCTCAGGTGTGTGAACCACTGGCAGAAGCAGAGTTCGGGTCTAAAGTCAGGCTACCTGAATTGGAGGACAGGCTCTGCCACTTACTAACTGTGTGACTTTGGTCAAGTTATTAACACCTAGGTGGACCCACTGTTCCAGTTTGCCTGGAGCTGTCCTGGTTTTAGCACTCAAAGTCCCACATGCTGGGAAACCTCTCCATCCTAGACACACCTGGACAGCTGGTCACCCTAAAACATCTCTCTGTCTCATGATCCTCTTCTGTAAAATGAAGATAATAAAATGAGTTAATACATTAAAGTGTTTGAAACAAAGCCTGGGGGGGGGTAAACACTGATGAATATCAGCTGGGCTGAGCCAGTGTCCTCATTTCTCAATTCCTCCATCAACATTAGACTATCTAAACTTCATTTGTTAACTCAGTAAATTTGTTAAATAAATGAAGTGCTTAAAACTGTCCCTGGCAGGATAGTAAATGCTCAGTAAGTTTTAGCTATTCTTTTTTTTTTTTTTTTTTTTTTTTGCGTTACGCGGGCCTCTCACTGTTGTGGCCTTTCCTGTTGCGGAGCACAGGCTCCGGACGCGCAGGCTCAGCGGCCATGGCTCACGGGCCCAGCCGCTCCGCGGCATGTGGGATCTTCCCGGACGGGGGCACGAACCCGTGTCCCCTGCATCGGCAGGCGGACTCTCAACCACTGCGCCACCAGGGAAACCCAGTTCTTATTCGTATTATTATTATTATCTATTAGCTTTTAGCTAATATTTTTCGGCCACAATTGAGTCCAGGGTTTAAGCAAACATCAGAGCAAACAATTGGAACCATCCCAGCCACTCAAGGTAGCCCCATAGAATCCTAAATATCGGTATGTTCAACCAGACTTCCCTGGTGGTCCAGTGGTTTAGACTCCGTGCTTCTAGTGCAGGGGGCCTGGGTTCAATTCCTGGTCAGGGAACTAGAGCCCACATGCCACAGCTAAAGATCCCACATGCCACAACTAAGAACCGGCACAGCCAAATTAAAAAAAAAAAAAACATTCAACCCCATTTAACATTTTCTTCCTTCCCCACTCTCCACCCTCAGAATCCATTCCCAGATCATTTTGCAGGTTTTGTCAATATAAATTAGCAAAATCTCATGGTTCTTCTGGTGTTTCAATATCTTCCTCCCAGATTTGAAGTCATCAGCCCCCTGGGGTCTGCTGCGATATGACTTGTTATTTAAGTCTGGAGAAAATGAGGGGTGATGGGGTAGGACACACAAGGGGTCTCCTTCAGGGCAAGGTCATTACAGAGTATATTTTTTAAGTAAATGCTATCTGCTGGCCTGGTTGCACATGTGCCATGGAGCGGGGGAACCCAGGCTGAGCAAGGCCCTGCCACCAACAGCACATGGCTTCCCAGCTCACCCAGGGCACTGGCATTCAGGTGGCCAACTTGGGAAGCAGGAGGGCTGATGGCCACTTGGAGGATGCTATGGGTCAGGCATGAAAGCAGTGCACATCCCGCCCTCCCATTGCCACTGGCCACACCTCAGCCATGCAGCACACTAACTGCGAGGGAGGGTGGGCAACTCCACCTAGATGTGCACCCAGGAGGAAAGGGATCTGGGTTTGGCAAAGAGCTAGTGAATTTCTGCTACCAGTACCTTCAGAATGACTAAGAAGAGTCCCTTTGGCTGGCAAGGGAACCTCTGTAGCAGTGGGGGTCCTGAGTCTTCCACACCTTCCCGCAAAGCCCTCCACTCTCTCTGCTCCCCACTCTCCACTCTTTCCCAACTAGAGACCCAGAGAGGGTGTGAAGCCACCTCATGGTGTCATTTTATAACCACTGATTAAGCCTTAAGTTTGGGTTGTAACTCTCTCAGCCTTGCAGCCACAAGATATAAAAATTCCCTGATTTTCTAACCATGTCTTGAGGGGCAAATTTGGACTTTGATCTTGTCTTTCCTTTATGCTGTTGGTGCTGTTAGCACACAGCCTGCCTAACAGCCCTTGACTTCAGGGTAATCTTTATATTCTTCTATGGCAAGAGCCACCAGGTCCCAAAAGCCTTGCCCTTGATGGGCGCTTTGTTCTGAGGACCACAGGATTAACTGTCTCGCCATGGCATGCTGTGGGCTACTGGTATCCTGTCCCTTAATACTAGCTGGATTTTCACTGTCCTCTGGCCACTTGCCAGGCTTCCATCACCCCCATTTCCCACAGGGCTTCTTGTTCCATCCACCTCTAGTCCTATTTTTGTATCCATCAAGGTTCTTAACTGTAAGAAACAGAGTCTGGTGACTCTAAGCAGTAAAGGAACTTGTCCAAGTTACTGGTTAGCTCCCAGGAGTTCTGGAAGGTTGGAGGATCAGATCTGGAAGAGACCCTACTACCTCTGCTGGGCACAGATGCCACAACGGGCATCACCAACGAGGGATGGAGGTGCCATCACCTTTGAAAGCCGGATATAGCTGCTGCCACTGCCGCCATCAATTGCTGAGATGAGCTTCTCCCACCGGCAGCTTTACCTTGAAGTTGGGCACGTAGCTCTAATTGGAGGAGCCACGTCATGTGCCCAGGACCTTGCTTCAAGGGAGGTTGGGAAAAGGAGGCAGAAAGGGGCATTTTCAGCTTCTTTCAGGGAGGCAGCCTCTGTCTTCAAGCTGGGGGATACCTCTAACACAGGAATGGGACTCTGATGTGGGACGGCCAAGAGAATGACTCAGGTCCACTGCAAGAAGCCACTTGGTACACCTGGGACCCTGGGCCCCTGGCCTGCAGCACTGGCCCTGTCGTCCCATGCTCTAACCAGGGGCCTCGCCAGCCTTTGGAGTCTGTGCAGGGTAAGGTGGGTAATGGAACATCCCCGTACAAAGGCAGTGTGGCCTGGAGGTCCTGACAGAATCAGGCTATGCTTGTAGCCGAGCCTACCAGTAAGTGTCTTTCAGTAAGTCCTCTAACTTCTTGGAACACGTAGTGATTACCAGGCAGGCGACTGAGATCTCATCACTCCTCTCAAGTGGCTCTCCATGTGACCCTGGGCACATTCGGTAGCCTTTCTATAAGATGGGGAGCAGCTACCCTGCAAGGTTGTTGTGAGGATTAAATGACACGATGGATGTAAGTTTGTAGCACAATGCCTGGCAAATTGCTGGAATTCAATCACTGTTAGCTGCCGACTGCAATTTTAATACTGGGGATGATACAATTACCCTTTTCTTTCTTTCTGGGAGCTCTTTGCAAATAAGTGAACTATTTTGTATCCATCTCATGAATTCAGGGTAGACGTGTCTGGGAGTCAACTCAGGGAACTCTGGGGACCAGTTGTTCAATATGTCCAGCCCCTTCTGCTCCTCTCCTTTTTCCTTATTCTTGTCCTTCCGTCAGCTTGGCCTCTCTGTTTCAGCCTTCTTCTGTCTTCCCACCGGACTGCCAACCTCCCCATCCTTGCATCATTTGCTGTCACTCATTATGACTCCCATTCATTAACTGTCCTACCCATGTTCTGTGCAGTCAAGCACTCACAACCTGGGGGAATACAGGAGGGTGTCCCTTAGGAAATCTGTCTGGGAATCTTTGTGAGAGGTGAAGATGGAGCAAAGACCTCCACCCCATTTCCTGATTCTTGGTCCCTATGATGGTTAATTTTTTGTGTCAACTTAATTGGGCCATGGGGTACCCAGACACTTGGCCAAATATTATACTGGGTGAGTCTGTGAGGGTGTTTTTGGATGAGATTAACATTTGAATCAGTGGACTGATAAGTTTCCTCCTTTTGTAATAGATTGAGTGATGCGGACAAGAGCATTTGGTCTTTCCAAGAAGAAGAGGGAGAGGATAAGGGAAGAAGTAACAGCAGGAAAGAGTATACAGTCCTGTTCTGGTCATCTTGGGAAAGCTGTCTCCTTCAGCTGCTGTCTGCTTCAATTCCTGGTGAAATTTGATTCAGAGGTCTCCAGTGCTTGATTATATCAGACTGGATGTCAGTTGGAGCCTTCTTTAACTGTGAGATGTACACCCAAGGCTTGAGTCTCAAGTTTGGCTGCCATCTGGGTAATGAGGAGGACCTGGTATAGTCCCTTCCAAGGACATTTAAGGGCAGTCTTTGTTCTTACTGATTTCAAATCAGAAGGATGGGAGAAAACTGGAAACAATTTGGAGATTTATAGTCAGATATTTGAGGAAACTAGAAGAGTTTAGAATCCAGTTCAGCTTACAGCTGTATAAAAAAACCTTGAAACTTTATCATTAACAGGACAAGAATCTAATATCTACAAAGTTGCAAACACAGTTTCTCTCTCAATAATTATTACCCTTTTTATCAAAGATAATCATAGTAAAACTAATTTGTTTGTAGTAAATTTGGCTTGATTATTTACAAAAATACAGCAAGAATAGTGCTTTTTTTTTTTTTGGCCATGCAGCTTGAGGGATCTTAGTTCCCCAACCAGGGATTGAACCCGGGCCACTGGCAGTGAAAGCACAGAGTCCTAACCACTGGACTGCCAGGGAATTCCCTCATATAAGCCCTTTTTAAGATTACTTTGCTGGGGGCTTCCCTGGTGGCGCAGTGGTTGAGTCCACCTGCCGATGCAGGGGACACGGGTTCGTGCCCCAGTCCAGGAAGATCCCACATGCCGTGGAGCGGCTAGGCCCGTGAGCCATGGCCGCTAAGCCTGTGCATCCGGAGCCTGTGCTCCGCAACGGGAGAGACCACAACAGTGAGAGGCCCGCGTACCTCAAAAAAATAAAATAAAATAAAATAAAATATGACACAAATGAACTTATTTACGAAAGAGAAACAGACTCACAGACATAGAAAACAAACTTACGTTTACCAAAGGGGAAGGGGGAAGGGATAAGTTAGGAGTATGGAATTAGCGGATACACACTACCATATATAAAATAGAGAAACAAAAAGGATTTACTGTATAGCACAAGAAACTATATTCAATACCTTGTAATAACATATAATGGAAAAAAAACCAAAAAAGAATACGTATAGATATAAAAAAAGAACCACTTTGCTGTACACCTGAAACTAACACAATATTGTAAATCAACTATACTTGAAGTAAAAAAAAAAGAAATGGGGGATGTGTATATCAACTATACTTCAATTAAAAAATAGAATAGAAAAAGAGAAATGGGGTATGTTCTTTTAAATAAGGATTGCTACTTGGCTGTAAATTTGAAAAGACAAGGCAACAAAGTATGAACCTATCAACAAGTGATTATAGCCTGGCACTGAGAAGTTATCACTGAGAGTGTCCAGGGCAGAAAGGGTGGTTGTTCTTCTACTGGCCTTTTCAGCTGGCTGTAAGACCCTTTTGTTGCTCCATTTACTGTGGTATAAGAGCAGTTGCTTTCAAATGTGTTGGATCATTCCACAATAAGAAATATTATGGCCCAGCATATACTTACATATATAAAAACATATAAGTAACTGAAATAAAAGTTAAATAAACTGTATTTCCTATTTTCAGTGTATGTCATGCATGCACTCTATTTTGCATTTTATGAAACTATTCTCTTCTATTTATATATAGATAATAAACAAATCTATAATAAATTTATCTATAAATTATAGGTAAAATTGAAGATATATATTATTAATTTATCTATGTAGGTACAGACAATATGTATATGTTCTATTTAATTAAACATTAATCAAATTCACCAATGGTCTGTGATCACAATTTGAAAAACAAGAAGTTACAATAAGCACTGGGGCTTCCCTGGTGGCGCAGTGGTTAAGAATCCACCTGCCAATGCAGGGGACACTGGTTCGAGCCCTGGTCCAGGAAGATCCCACATGCCGCAGAGCAACTAAGCCAACGAGCCACAACTACTGAGCCTGCATGCTGCAACTACTGAAGCCCACGCACCTAGAGCCCGTGCTCTGCAACAAGAGAAGCCATCTCAATGAGAACCCCGTGAACCACAACGAAGAGTAGCACCCGCTTGCTGCAACTAAAGAAAGCCCATGAACAGCAACGAAGACCCAATGCATCCAATAAATAAATAAATAAATAAAATAGATTTCTTAAAAAACAAACAAACAAAAAAATACTAGGAATCACACATTTTCCCCACTTTGAACAGGAAGGGCGACTTACCAGAAAGCTTCATGAAAACAGATTCCAGTAAAGCTAGAGAGTTCAAAATGCAAAGAGAGTAGAGCTTGGATTCAGGAAAAAACTTAGCTTCAAACTCCAGGGTTGACAAGAAAGCAGTGAGCTCAATGAACTCCATGGGTACCAACACCTGCTTGCTCACCAGCCTCCAGGTCATTAGAGGGCATCGCTGGATCCCACTTCTGACACCATGCAATGTCAACCTTTAAAATAAAACATCCAGTTATTTTACTGGCAAAATAGGTTTACTCAGAAATAACAGAGAATTGCAATTTGGGACAAGCATGTTATGATGCATCATAGGCAAGCCTGGAGAACAACGGAGAGGCACTTGCTTTTATTAAGTTTTAGGGGGAAATTGGGGAGAGCTGTTTTGAACAAAACTTCATTGGAAGAGAACAAGCATTCAAGGCTGTGGCAGTTTCTCATTGGCTGCAAGTGGTGGTAAGAGAGCTGTTGCTGGGGCAGGGAGGAAATTTCCTTCTTTTTTTTTTTTTAAAGCAGGAGAGGGAATTCGCTGGCAGTCCAGTGGTTAGGACTCCGTGCTTTCACTGCTGAGGGCCTGTGTTTAATCCCTAAGATCCCACAAGCCGGACTTCCCTGGTGGTTAAGACTCCATGCTCCCAATGCAGGGGGCCCAGGTTCGATCCCTGGTCAGGGAACTAGATCCTGCATGCCGCATGAGGCAATGAAGATCCTGTGTGCCACAACTAAGACCTGGTGCAGCCAAATAAATAAATAAATAAATAAATATTTAAATTTATTTATTATTTTATTTTTGGCTGCTTTGGGTCTTTGTTGCTGCACATGGGCTTTTTCTAGTTGCGGCGAGCAGGGGCTACTCTTCGTTGGTGTGTGGGCTTCTCATTGTGGTGGCTTCTCTTGTTGCAGAGCACGGGTTCTAGGCACACGGGCTTGAGTAGTTGTGGCATGCAGGCTCAGTGGTTGTGTCTCGCGGGCTCTAGAGTGCAGGATCAGTAGTTGTGGTGCACGGGCTTAGTTGCTCTGCAGCATGTGGGATCTTCCTGGACCAGGGCTCAAGCCTGTGTCCCCTGCATTGGCAGGTGGATTCTTAACCACTGCGCCACCAGGGAAGTCCTAAATAAATATTTTTTTTTTAAAAAAAGGCAGAAGATAAAATCCCCATGTGATTAATGTCCTCCTCCATCAAAATAATTCTTATCTTCCCTCTTCCTGCTGGTTATACAGACTGCAATGAATGGTACATGTGTGCGAGTTCCCTCTTCAGAGCTTCCCAAGTCCGTTTTAAATGAGATTTTCTTTATATATTTTCATGGTGCTCATGCACTGTTGCCCTACACAGTGGACATGGGTGTGTTTTTCTGTCCTCTCCTGACATTGCAAATACGAAAGTCAAAGAAACAGACATAGAAAGCCAGACAACATGGAAGTACAGCTATTTTCTTGGTGCATGGATATCTGTTTAATGTGTTCTTGAGTGGATAACTGGATAAGGCAGGATCATGAATGGAAGAGAAGGGCTGAGGGTGTGGGTACAGAATTGCCAGCTTCCTCCCAAATGAACACTTGATCTGGATTGTCAATGCCTCAGGGACATCGTTGCTGGTCTCCTTGTTCCTCACCATGAGCAAGCAGATGCTGGATAACTGCTCTTGGTGATTGTGTTGCAGGAAGTCTTGTGAACAGGAAAAGGAGAAGGCTCGCATTTGTTGCTGTCTTGGCAGTTAAAAGTGGGCCATGGATGATGATCATAGATTCAGGAAGAAAGCGGGTGGGCTCAGGGAGGGGCCTCGAGGTCACAGATGAAACTCTGGGGTCTGATCCAAACCCAGAAGCAAAAGCTGGAATTTATTTAATGGAGTTCCATTCATTTATTCAGCAGATAGCAACTGAGCACCTACTAAGTGGCCAGGCCCCAAGTGAGCTGCGGGAATACGGCAAGAAGCAGATTCTCCTCTGTCTCCCACGAGCATAGAGCTACGTGCTCAAGTGGTGAACACTGAAGGAGCCCAGAAAGGAGACACTCTGCCCGTGACTGGTGCACAGACGGCTGCCTTGCTTGACTTCTCAGTCCTCCTCTAAGTCGGGTTCAGCTGACTCTTGACTCCCCTGCCACCAAGAGAGAGGGCAGCGGGGTGTCCCCACCCCAGACCAGGCAGGCTGCTTGCTTTGTTTCTCAGAGCCACCCTGGCTGTTTCAGACGCAGCCAGCCCAGGAGCTTAGACCAGAGGCAGCTGTGGGGCGTGGGCCTGGCAGCAGGCAGGCCTGTGGGCGGGCAGACAGGCAGCAGGAGAACACTCAAGAATTAACCCAACCAGGAACGGGTGTCTCCTCAGAGGATCACAGACACCCCCTCTCCTGCCCTTTGACGGTACCATCCCCAACTTCCAAGGCCTGGGCGATGGGGTTGATTCCCGTGGTAATTTGGGGGAAAGAGGAGAGCAGCCTCCCCATCCTCGGGGGTTTTTCGTTTTGAAGTTAGCCAAAGGGACTGTTTGTCTCAGAACCACGGTCCCCTGGGGATGGAGATGAGCCCTCTGGAGCTGGAGCCCAGCTCTGAATAGGTGGGCCCAGGGTCTGGAGGCCAGGTCGGGCTGCCCACTGACTGGGGATGGGCGCTCCACTGCACTGCCTCTCAGGGGGCACTGCCCACCGCCTCAGAGCGGAGGAGCAGGGAAGGGCCAGCCAGGAGGCAAGCGGGGCCTATGTGCACTTGGCCCCATTTTCCTGCACCCCTCCCTCTCTCTCTCCTGCTCTGTCCCACTCTTTGGCTCTCTTTTCAGATTGAGACATGGCTCGGGAGCCCAAGCCCGGCCCTTCCCGGCCAGGCCAGAAGAGGCCATGGGGCAGAGCCATCTCCTGGTGAGTCTGCCTGGGGTTGCCTACCGGGGAGGGAGTCTGATCAGCTTGTCTGGGGCTCTGGGCTCCCCTGAGACAGAATGAGAACCCCAGGAGGCTTGCTCAGTGTGTTGCCCACCCAGCCAGCCAGGCTGCTCGTCTTACTCTCTGTGGTACCAGAGGAGGTCGGTCTCCCTTGGCCACAGGTTTTGTCTGTAAACTGGGGGTGTGTGTGGAGGGGGGTCAACCCAGCTCATTCCAAGGCCCCTTCTAGCTGACACAACCCAGCCACCCTCCTGCTGGTGATGCCCTCTCCTCTCGCCTGGACCCGGGGGCGTGAGTCCTCCAAGGGGAGCCTCACCTGTGGGGTGCTCGGGGGCTTTTTCTGGGTATACATGTTTGGGAAGTAGACAATGGGAACCCTTCTGGATGAAATCTTCCCTCTAACTTGGAAAGCTTCAAGGAATTTTAAAGAAACCTTTAAACATGTTTAGAAAGGAGCTCACCAACTTCTGCCAGCCAACGTGCCATTTTCACAGGCGTAACCAGTGTGTGTGAACCGGTGGCCCCTTAGTCCCCTCAGCTGGGAGCCTGTGATGTCTGTGATCAGCTCCTGGCCTGTCTGTGGGCATTTGAGTGCTTTCTGTCTTGCCAGTGGGGGAGGCAGGGAGGCAGTGGCTCAGGTGGTTGCTGTTAGGTACAGCACTGTGTAAACAGCCTGCTGCCGAAGGTTCTGATTTCTTTTGGGTTTTTGTTTGTGGGGGTTTTTTATAATTTTTTTATACTTAATTTACTTATTTATTTACTTATTTTTGGCTCTGTTGGGTCTTCATTGCTGCGTGCAGGCTTTCTCTAGTTGTGGCAAGCTGGGGCTGCTCTTCACAGCAGTGTGCGGGCTTCTCACTGCAGTGGCTTGTCTTGTTGCAGACCATGGGCTCTAGGCGAGCAGGCTTCAGTAGTTGTGGCACATGGGCTCAGTAGTTGTGGCACATGGGCTCAGTAGTTGTGGCTCACGGGCTTAGTTGCTTCCACGGCATGTGGGATCTTCCTGGACCAGGGCTCAAACCTGTGTCCACTGCATTGACAGGCGGATTCTTAACCACTGGAACACCAGGGAAGTCCAGTTCTGGTTTCTTTTGGGTCTCATCTCCTCAGAAGTGCGATGGCAGGAATGGGTAGGGGCTACTCTGAGAAGCCTCTGCACCTTCAGGCTGACCTCGAGAGTCATTAGGCCAAATCTCTCCCTGCCTGCGGCAGCCAGGCCTACATCACCTTTGCCGGCATGGACTGCTTTTTCACTGTGTTGTTTTGGGCTGATGAGTAGATGTGTACTCGTAGTTTTTTAAGCTTGCATTTCCTCAGTGATGCTGAACTGCGTGTGCGGTATGTTGGTTTGCCTCGAGTCTTGTGCGTGAGACTCTCATCTGGGAGTTGATATGGTTTGGTAAATATCCGTCTGATGGGAGGTAAGTGGTTTCTTCCCATAGTTCTCAGCTGTGCTTTTTCACACGGCCGCTTTGAGGCTGGGTTAACCCTTTCTCAGTTCTTCAGTTCCAGTTGCCTTCTCCAGATTTCATGTCGCCCCACCCCCTTGCCTAGCAGGCTCGGACCCAGTCCTGTAGGTGCAGGTGGGAGAACAGGGAAGCAGTGGAGAGTGATGCCAGCTGTCCTGCAGGAGCTCAGATTCCGTTCAGAGGGGTGCCTGGCATTCAAGGCCTGGGGCAGGGGTGGCTTCCTTAAGACCCATGTGTCCCTAGGGCACTCCAGTGGGGAGAATGAAACCCTTCTCTGGGGACTAGGGCAGCATGTCTGGAGCAGCAGCAGGCTGTTGCTGTGGCTCTGGCCCCTTTGGATAGTCACCCAAAGAGGGGTGGTTCGGGATGAGGTTCTGGTGGCCCCTGAGTTGTTGGATGACTTCTCTATGAGAACTGGTCAAGTCCAGGCCTTGTGTCTTGGGTCTCAAAATGGCATTTGTCAACCTGGAGGGAAAGGTTTGTGGTGGAAGGATTGCCCCAGGTCCCCTCCCCCCCACCTCCCCCCACTTGGCCCCTGAGGACACTGAGGGAGGTGGCTTGACCTCTGCCCAGAGTCATACTGATGGTGCATTTTATTTCTCTTACTGTGGGAAGTCCCAGCTTGCACTGTAACCATTAGCCCAGACCAGGGGACAGATGTGACTGCAGACCCTGTGTGACCAGGCCACTGCCCCTTAGGAAGAGAGAATCAAGGCCACACACCCAGGGCACAGGCCTCAGCCCTGCCTGATGACTGGGGGCAGGGGCAGAGCAGGGATGACCCCAGACCGGGAGGGACCCTCTACCTACAGCAAGCTGGAGCAGCGAATATCGCCTAACCTCTAACCCGCAAACTCATCCTGCCTTTGTCTCAACTCCGGTAGCTCCCAAGTCTGTGCTCAGCAGTCAGTGAATTACCATTCCTTTACCATTAATTTTTAGGTACTCTAAAAAGTCATTTTAGGAAAAAAAGTGTGGAAGAGGTGTTTAAAGAAAAGTGTGCTTCTTGCATTGGCTGGGAATTGAACCCTGGCCTCCCACGTGGCAGGCAAGAATTCTACCACTGAATCACCAATGCTGTTGTAGAATAGGGTTCATCGAGGTAGCTCAGGTGGTCGGCTACTGGTCCTTCCCCATCTCCCTCCCCTCTCCTCCCCTCCAGCTGTCTGATCTCTGCTGAGGTTTCAACCCAGTCAGGGAGAGGGGGCCCCCATGGCCAACCCAAGGCGGGCCGGACAAGCGAGAATTTTCCCGGAGTGGTCATGCTCAGCTGAGACTCGTACTCAGCTGAGACTCGTAACCTGGAGCTCTGTCCTGGCCCCCAGCTGTCCCAGCTTGGTCGTTGCCGACCCTCAGGGGGCTGCCTGTTTCCTGCACCGTGGCCCGGACCCCGACCCCAACCCCAGAGCGCCGAAGGGATGGGTACCTGCCCTCCCGCGCTCCACTGGCTCGCTTTCCTTTCTCCAAGGATGGGCCTCCCACCGCCGGAATCAACATCCCAGCGGCTCCTGGGCCGCCCACCAGACTTCCTGAGGCCAGAAAGCGGGGACGGGGTGGCCGGAAATCTCATCCACAGGCTTGGGGACCTCACGGCATGAAGGGGAAGGGGCCCCCTAATGTTCCCTATTCCGCTCCGGTGGCTTCCATAGGCCTTGCCCCTCATCAGCTGGGCCTGAGCTGGTGGTGTGGGCGCATGGTCCCAGAAAGTTATTTCAGAAACTTTACTGCCCCCAGCTTGCAGCCCCTCTCCTCACCCTCAACTCCTCACTTGCCTTAACTGAAGCCTCAGGCTGCACCCGAACTGCCTGCAGCTGTATCCCCACAGGATCTTCCTGCCCAAGCCGGACCCAGCTGTCCCTCTGCACCCATCTTCCCTTCCCTCCTAGGCACCAGTTCCCTGGAGGTGCATGGTGCATGAGAGCAGGCGTGAGGCCAGGCAGTGACAGCCTGGGACCTTCCAGACTCAGCCTCTCTCCCAGGGCCTGGAGCGAAGGGAAGGTGGCCTGGGCATGGCCCTTAACCCCCCACTGTCTGGCCCTGCCAGTGCTGAGCCCTGCATCCTGGCGATTCCCACGCAAGGATTAAAGGCTCTCTCCGTGGCTTTGAGCCCTGACTTAATTCTTCCCTTTCATCCTTTGCCAGACTAAGAACCAGAATAACATCAGCAGTGCCTGGGTCAGGCAGAGGAGGCTTTGGACAGCCCAGACCTGGCGGGCCAGAAGCCTGTGGGCAATCGCCCCCTCCTGCCACCTGGAGGCACCCGGAACGTGCCCCTAACAGAGGCCAGCTATGGGGAAGCTGGTTTGCTGTGGTCTCCCAAAGTGACCTTGGTCAAGTCCCTAGGGGCTCTTATGGTGAAGAATCCTGGGATTCTAAGGAAAAGCTGCATACATCAGTTTCTCCAAATTAAACTGGAGTCGAGGCAAGGATTCTGGCCCTGGACAATGACCCTTTCCTCATTTATCTCTATTTCAACAGCAACTATGACCTGGATTACAAGCTGTACAGGGAAGATTTCCCCTACAGGTAGGTGGGTCCTGCCCCCTCAGTCCTCTGGGCAAGCAGGTGGGGCTAGTTGGCCTGACTCCCTCTCCATCCTGTCCATAGGGTGTATGAATACCAGAGGATCCCTCCACTAATCAACCATGTGCCTATCAAGATCCGGAGGACCCATATGGGCATGGGGGTCAAGAGCAACTTCAGTCCCCACAAGTCTCCCAGGAATAGTCAGCTGACCCCCAAGATAAAGCGTGAGTGAGGGAGCACAGCCCTCAGCTGCAGGGCTAGGGGAGAACTGGGAGGCCCTTAGCAGTGAGGGTGGGTTCAGGAGTCCTCGCAGCACTGCCCTCTGCCTCCTGAACCTGACTGATACCAACTCTGGCCCCTCTCCCAGCAGTCCAGACTGAGGAGCTGCACTCCATCAGGGGAGCGCTGAGCCAGATCAAAGCCCAGGTGGACCGTCTGTTGGACAGTGTGGAGCACATGGACCAACAGAGGGACCAGCTTTCAGGTCAGGTGTGGGCCCAGGCCACACCCTTAGCAGGCTCCAGGTTTTCCCACTCCTGAAGGTACCAGGGGGTCCTGCGTCCAGCTTTCCCTGGGTGCAGGGCTCCTCCTCACCCTCCCTGGAGTTCACTTCCCCCTACTCCCTCTGGGTGTCTCTGTGGCTTGAGGACCTTTTTGGCTTCTAGATTGTTCTATGACCCCCATCCACTCAGCAGCTGTCTGCCAGAGCCAGAGCAGTGTCCCAGCCCATCCCCATCTTGTCCTCTCGAGCCCTAGATTCCCTAGATCAGTGCTGGGCATCAAGTGGCATCTTTGGGGTTAGCTGGGGCCTTCAAATCTAGCCACTGACCAGTGACTCTCCCTGTGCAGGGACAGAAGACTGTGAACAGAACAGGGGTTCTGGAAGTAAAGGCTCCTCATGCAGAACCACTGATCCCCAGCAGGAGCCCAGGGGACAGAGGGCCCATCCAGAGGCAGACAGCTTCCAGAACACAGACCTGGAGGAGGCAGTGAGTGGCCTGGCGCCTCCCCCCATTCTCACCCTCCTTGTGGCCTCTCTGTGAGCAAAGGAGGGACTTGCGTTTGCATGGGAGACCACAATGATGGTTGCGGGGAGGCGTCTGACTTCCATCACAGCCAATGCCCAGGAGAAGACGGGGCCCTGCCCTGTTTTTTCTCCCCTCCTGATTTGGGCTTGGTCGGCTCAAATGGACCAGGGGCTACAGCTGGGCAGCTGAGCCAGTTCTGGGCTGAAATACCATCTCCTCCTGGAAGGTGGGTGGGGAGGGGGCTTTGAGCATTGCACAGGGAATATCACAGATGTGCCCCATAGCCCCAGATCCCTTGCCCAAAAACCATGTGGTAAGCCTGCCCCTGCCCACCTGCTACCCCAGAGTCTTTGGGCTGTCTTGCATTGTACCATACTCCCCAGGAAAGCTGGAGCACACTGACCTTCCTGGACTGAGAATATCCAAACCTGGATCTGATAACAGCCTTTTGTGCAGCTTCAAAGGGCCCAAATGTTCCCTGCCCTACCATTCCCTCCTCTCCTATTGGTGGTCCCTGAGATGGGCCAAGCCCCTACTGTTGCTAGGGCCATCTCAGCAAGGCTGGGGCTGCTGGGGGGTTAGTAGTGAGGAGCTTCCTCTCCTCCACTTGCCTAGCTCTGGCCTGTGGGCTCCAGGGGACACTTACTGCTGCCCAAGACTGTATCACATCTAGGAAAAGACTGGGGTAGGTGCAGAAAATGCCTTCTTCTGTCTGGTGGTCCTGGGTCCGTTCCCAAGTCTCAGGAAGAATCTACAGTAGCACTGAGATGTCAAAGCTGCCAAGAAAGGGAGGTGGGGGTGAGAGACTGGGAGTTGTTAGCAGATGGCCCTCCCTTTCCCAGCCATTCCACACCTCTCAACCCTTGGGGCTAGAGTCCTGCTTCTGCTTCTCCTACAGGTGAAGAATCATGCAGCAGACCAGGAAGACAGCCAGTAGAAGGTTGTAACCCCTCCAGGCTCATCAGCTCCAGGCACCTTCCCTAGTGGTTCCTTTCCTTGCCTTGAGTGATTTTTCCAAAGGCCTCTCAGTGGCACCCATGCAACCCATTCTGGAGCAAGGGCAACAGAAATGGAGGCACGGCTCAGCCAGACCAGCCAGGAAGCCTCCCCCCAAGTATTGGCTTTAGCTTTGGTCATGTTTCCAGATGACAGTATGGGGACTGGCAAGGAAGGGAAGAGGCTGCAACTGCCCAGCACCAGCTCACCATTCTTAGAAAGCTGAGGCCCACTCGTCGAAGGGGCAGCTGGACGGGGCCCACCTGGGAGCACCATCAGCCTTCTCTGACTGCAGGTACTGTTCCAGCGGCTCTTCTCCCTCTCAAAGCCCCCAGTCCTGTCTGGGTGTCAATAGGGGTATCCTTTTTGTGTCGTTTCTATCTTGTTTCTTGCTGATGTGATACCATGTATTTCAGATCTGCTTTGGAAATATGTATTATGTCACTGGGGGGAAATAAAATTTATATTTTTTTCCTCTTGATCAGGGGTTCTCGGTGTGGTCTCCAAGCCTTATTCTGGCCCTTTGGCTGTCCCAGGCCAACCCTTCCTAGAGAAGCTGAGCAGGCCCGAGACACACAAGCTCAGAAGCTCACACCAAGCCAGGGCAGAAAGGGCACCAAGCTGCCCCGCTTTTCTCCAAACCAGACCTGAGCACAAACCTGCAGGGCTCAGGAGCCACAAAGAGAACATCTTACCCTTGTGGTCAGGCCAGCTCTGCCCTACAAAATGGCCAGACTCCATCTCCAACATCCAGAAACTCTCACTCCTGGCAATTCAAGTGCCCTCTCCCAGGAGCCAAGACTAGATGAGGGACACCAGGACACATATAATGCTGTCCCAAGCCTTTGACACCAGGAGTCCGAGAACACACTACCCAGCTCGGAAGAGCCTTGCTCTCTTAAATCCTGTATCAAGAACAACAGAATTTTTCAGATATAAGAGTTTTTGTTTTAGCTCAGATATTAAGTGGGAAAGCACAGGCCCCTTGTCCATTCTCTCAAAAGCAGCCCAATAATATAGGAGGGGGTCACTGGCTGGCCTGCATAGGGTCCATCCCTTACGAGACACTAGCTCCAGGTTCCACTTTCCAGGTAAGTCCAGCTGAAGTCCTTTCCAACTTGGGGGGGTCAAGCTGCATTCGCAGGTTTCTTCACCTGAGTCGTGGCTGGGAGCCAACTCAATTAGAAAAGTTCCTTTAACGGCACAGTTTTTAAAAATATCATCCCAACACAGCTGTCCAGTGCATCAGTTCTGAGCACGCCTCCCCAGATACTCTCCCGTGCTCCGAGTTCTCAGCTTGGCGTACGCAGTCTGCAAGCCGACGGCGCGGGTCCTTTCGGGGAGAGCGGTAGCTGTCCTCGGCGTCCGTCCTTGCTCAGGGTTCTGCTTCAGGGCGGCGTGGCGGCGCCCCTCCGGCGGGCGGCCCGTACTAAACACTGCTGCAAAACGGGGTAGAGGCGCTGGCAGCCCTCGAGACCCAGGCGCACGGCCTCCGCCCAGCTCTCGGTCGGGCCGCCCTCCCCGCTGCCCAGCAGCCCGGCCACCTGGTTGAGCACCGGCATAAGCGCCACGGTGAGGCCGGCGGCGGCGCGTTCCTCCTCTAGCAGCGTGGGGTCCAGCAGCCAGGTGGGCTCGGGCCCCGGCGCGCGGCTTAAGCCGCAGCCCACCACCAGGTCGTACATCTCGATGCCCGCGTCGGCCAGGGCGATCGCGGCAGCCGTGAGCGCGGCGGCCAGTGCCGAGCCGCCGTCCTCGAGCAGCAGCGCCGACACCTCGAGCTGCGCGCGCGGGTAGCGGCCCAGGCGCACGGCCGGCTCGAGCGCCTCCTGCAGCGCCAGCGCCAGCTCACGCTCCTCGCTGCCACCCGGGGGAGCGCGGCGCCGGCGGCCCGAGAAGGGCGCGCGGCGGAAGTCGCAGAGCAGGCGGCCCCGCAGCGCGGCCGGGGTCTCGCCGCCCGCTCCGGCCGGGCCGCCACCGCGCTCACCGCCCTCTACCTGGCGTGGGCCGGACACTGCGCACAGCACCTTGGTGCCTCCCGCCTCCAGGTAGGCCGAGCCCTTGGCCTGGCTCAACAGCCCGGCGCGCGCGTACACAGGCCGGAGCCGCGTCGGGTCGCGAGCGGCCGGCACCTCGTCCTCGTCGGTCGCGTACAACTGCGGCGGCTGCGACTCCTCGGGCCCGCGGATGCGGCGGTTGTCCCCAGGCATGGCTGCATCTGGCGCACGAGTCCCCTTCACCCGTCGGCCAGGCCTCGCGCGCCGGCTCTTCCGCCCGCTCAAAGCCGCGCGCTCGCGCTAGGACTGTCGGGATAGCGGCAGGCCGCCCCGCACCGCCCCCTGCCGCCCCGGAGGGAGAACGGCGAGCGCTGCAGAGTCCTGGGGCCGCCGCAAGGACGCCCAGGGCTCGGTGGATGGATGGACGGATGTACCGGGCAGGCCTGCAGAAGTGGGACCTAGGCCGGCTCGGCTGACCTCTAGCCTTTGCGCTCAGGGCGTAGGGCTTCTTCCTTTCACTTGTGAAGCTGTAATTATTTTAATTTTGCACTTACGTGTGTGACTGTTTTATCCATGTTCCCCACTGCCTTGCCCAAGAGGGCGGTGACCTTCTGTCTTGGTCACTCCTGTACTGTTAGTGCCCTGGCTGGCATAAACGCTTGTCAAGTGAATGAATGGAACTATGTCTCTCCTGCTCCGGATTGTGTGGGCTCTTTGTATCCCTAACACTCCTCACCTGGCATGCACATATTGCAGCCAAGGGCCTCAGCCCTCTGTCTGCTTTTCATACTCCTCACCCCCAGGCCTTGTGACTGCTAGCCTCTGCTTCTTCTCTCAGCATAGACCTGCTTTTCCTCCTCCCTCAAAGTCAGCAGGCCTGAGAATGACCCAGGGCCCCAGAGCCAGCCTGCTGTACTCAGGGGACATGAAATCAGCCAGAGCGGGCACAACCAAGTACTGTACACTACTGTTACCAAACCCAACTGTCTTCACACTTGGGTGAATGGACGCAGAACCATGTCAGAGTATCCACCCTCACCGTCCAAGTGAGGTCCTGGAACCAGGAATGACGTGGCAGTCAAAGGAGTGGGGGGAGGCAACTGATGTACCCTAAACACCTTCTATACCAAAGAATGCCTCTGACCTCACACCCAACCTGCACATCAAGTGAGGAAAAGGGATATGGGCCTAAGAAATGAAGATATTCTCCTACAAGGGGCTCTATTCTGTGGGCCACCTCCACAGATGTCGAGGAAAATCCAGCAGCCATTATTCCCGAACTTCAGGGGTCTGGGGCTAGACTCGGCAAGGACTGCGACCAGAAGCCAGCTGGAGCCACAGCATTTATTCTACAGACACCCAGGGAGCCACGGGCTGTCACACTGGGGGCACCCGTGGGGTGGGGGGTGGGGGAGAGAGGGGAGAAGGAGATAAGAAATCACACGGCATTATCGAGTATTGCACATGGTCCTTTTATTCTCTGCAGCAAAAACGATTCCTCCCTGCAGGCCCAGAGCCTTGGGTCTGCAGAGAACTCTGCAGACACAATCCTGGGGTAGTGGTTCTAGACAGATGGCGCTGATGTGCTCAGGGCAGAAGCGTAATGTGGGAATTGAGTCACAGGCTGGCTCCCAGGCTAAGTTCCAGTTACTGCTGGGTTAGGAGGACAGATGGGGCTGTTTAAAGGTCCCATGATTAGAATGTCCTTGTGGGGGATGGAGCGCTCCTGGCTGGACGGATCCATCTGGGTGTGGGGGAGATGCCTCCTCATGGAAGCCTCCCTTCCCCCTCAGTTCTTCACATCTCCCAGGTGGAGCTGGGCAAAGGTGGCGGCCAGCTGCAGCGCCTCCTGCAGGCAGCCCACGTTCTTGCCTGTGGCCTGAGCGGACACATCTTTGCCACCACCTTTGCCATCCATCAGACCTGACACCTGTTGCACCCACTCACTGGCTTTCAGGCCCCGGTTGGCTGCATTCTAGAAGACAGAAAGGAGAAGTGGGGGTCAGGACAGAGGACAGGATTGAGGGAGACAAGGAGAGGGGTGGGATGGAAAAAGGATGGGGGAGCCTGACACTCAATCCTGCCCTGGGTGATGCATGCTGCCAGAGCTAAGAGAGATCCTATAGTGGGTACGACAGCCAGGGCAAGGCATACCAAGTAGCAAAGCCATCACGGTTAAACATATCCACCAGGGAGGGGAGAGCCTGAGGGGAAGGGGTGCTGGGGAGGTGACAAACAGTTGAGCAGGAAAACGGCCACTTCTAACAGGGGTTGCACAAACACACATGGGTCTTGGCAAACAGGTGTAAGAAGAACCAAGCTCCCTGAGAAAAGCTATGGCCACTGGCACAAAGCTGCTGTGAGCAAGACTGCAGGGCACTCTGACCTGGGGGACTTGACACAAGCATGTGATCTTGCCAGCCTCATTATCCACTGTGAAGAGCATGGCAGACGTCTCAGGGGAATGCGTCTTGAAGAGCTTCAAGGCTTCGTTCAGGGCCTGTGGGGAGAACCTGGCTTCAGGCCACGGCCCTGGGGAAGGGGGCCACACTCTCCACAAGTGCAGCGGGTCTGCAGAGCTCAGTTCTCAGAGAGCTCCCACCCCCTACCCCCTTCTAAGAGCAGGTGCTGGTCCCGGGAGCCTGGATGGAGGACTAAGCACAGGGCCTCGCCCACGCTCTGGCTCGGAGCTTCGCCTTCCACCTCGAGGAGCCACAGCTCTCCAGCCACCAGCTCTCTTCATGGCTCAGCCCAACCTCAGTCCCAGAGAGTGGGCCGTCAGGCAACTACTCTGCTCAGAGCCACAAGGCTCCCACTTCAGCCACCAGAAGGCTGAGACTCTGAGAGGAGGAGACAAGCAGCAGACAGGCACAGGGTGGTGCCATGGAGCCCCAACCCTGGCTTGCCTTGGCCGAGGCGCCGCTCTCCATCTCCAGGATGACAAGGGGCTGGTTGGGGCTGCTGTCAATGAGCTGCTTTGTCTTCTCCAGCACCTGCAAGGAAGGGAGTCCAGAGGAGAGGCCTCAGGTCAAAGGCTCAGACTCCGAAACCCAGCGAGCAGTCTGCACAGCCTTTGCTGGGTAAATCCTCCCGGCTCCTGCACTGCCAGGACTCACCCGCTTCTGGACATCTGCTTTGTTAGCCCGGTCTAGGTCATCCATGATTTTCTTCAGGGATTTGAGATTCTCCCGGAATTCATCCTTCTGCCACTGAGGGATGACTGCAGTGGCCAGAGCCTGGAACCAGAACAGGAACTCCACTGGGAGCTGGGCCACGAGGAGCGAGGATGTGAGCCCACCCCACCCTTCTAGCTTCTGACACCAGAGTCCCCCAACCAGTGTCCAGAAGGAGAGAGAACACAAGAACAAAAAGAATCCACTGGCCTTGAGACGAGTCACTTTATGAGCAACTGCATGAGTTGTAAGGAGCAGGGCTGGAGAGAAAGGGGCAGAATAAAGAGAGCTGGGACCCCATTAGACCTGGTCCCCCCACGGCAGTGAACACAGCCCGTGATGGGCTAATGGGAAGCCACCGAATGTTAACAAACACCAGGAGACCCGGAGACAGTGGGCTCCCACAGTGCCTCTCCCACCCCCCTCAACACCAGTGCCCACTAGCGCTCAGAAGGGGCTGCCCTGCCATCGGCAACGGGGGCAGCAGCCGGTTCCAGGGGTCCGGAGGCCAGGATCCGGGAAGCCCCCTTGGCAAGGTTGCCGGACATCCGAAGTCAGTCCAAAGGCCCACTGCACCGAGAACCAGGACCTGAGGAGGGAGGCCGCCCCTACCTCACCGAGGTCCGCGATCTCCCTTTGCACGTCCTTATTTGGAGCAGTCTGGGCCTTCACTTTGGCCTCCGCGACAGAGAGAGATTTCTTCAAGCTCTCCGCTTTCCTGAGCGCCTGGGAGGAGACAATCAGTGTTGTAAACTGTGGGTCAGGCAACTTTCAGCTTCACGACTCTGTGAACGGTGGCAGACACCGATGGCAGGCTATGGAACAACACACCCCCAGAACACCAGAACTTTCTCTTCCTTCAGGAGCAAGTGTTTGCAGCCTCATGCCCCAGAAAGGAGCACCCTCCTCACACACCTGGCCAGCGGAACTCAGGTTCAGGGGGTGACAGAGAACTCATGAGCCAGGAGCCCTTCCCACCTATGAAATCATCACTCCTCAAGCCTCGGCACACGTCAGGCGTGAGCTACAGTCCCCACCCCCAGAGCAACTGTCCCCATACTCCATGCATCTCAAACTGGGTACATACCCCAAGGGAGATGTGGCTAAGTGCTGGGGGCACAGAAGCCACAGCAAAACTGTGGCCTACCCTCCTAGACACAGACATCTTATGGCAGAATCTACCTATATGTTAAAAGATTAAATGTAAGATAGCTAGAACGTTTCGTGCGGTGCTGGCGTTCTTCCGCTAGGCGGGGTAATGGGAGGACACTCTGGAGGGAGTGCTGTACCTCCGATTCTGACCGCAGCGGCCACGTGACCATCGGCACTGTGGATCCACAGATTGGGCCCCGCTTGCCTTGTTCGAGTAAGCCACAAACCAGCCTGACCTGCTCACCTTCTGGGCTTCGGCACCTGTGACAGCAACAATCCTCCGGATGCCCTTGGCAATAGCTTCTTCACTCACAATCACAAAAGCTCCCGCGTGACTCGAATTCTGCAGATGCCTGAATGGCAGAAGGCAAAGTTCATGGTCCTCACGGCACCCAGGAGCCCTTGGCTGGCAGGCAGGAGCCCTAAGTGGTAGTCGCTCCCAGGGAAGCTCCCTCAAGGGGATGATGAGCAAAGGCCCTTCGTGTTTATTTCAGAACGCAGCTGTGGCCTGGAAGGGGCAGGCAGTCAGGGAAGGCCTGGCTGGGCCGACACTGAGCGAGGCGCCACGTTCCTGTGCCTCAGTTTTCTCACGCATGAAATGTGGGTAGTTGTCCCTCACCACACTGCTGCCGTCTGTCCCTGCTCAACAGCCTGAGAGTATCGGTGGATTCCCTCTCAAGTCTTACCACAGCACCTCAGACAACCCCAGGGGCTCAGAGAACCTCAAACGCTCATTTACTCTCAGCCACTCCGCAAGGATGATGTAAAGTCTCCGAAAGCTGTTTCCAGTGCTCTAGAGTGTCATGGAGAGAGGTATTAAGGCAGATGTGGGACTCATTTGAAGGCCCAATTCTACTGGACAGAGGGAGGCCTGGAATGTAATCTCCCAGATCCCTACCCCATCCTCCATGCACCCACCTGCTCTCTGCCTGCCTGAGGCTCACAGG